TGTGTGTGTGTGTGTGTGTGAGTGTGTGTGTGTGTGTGTTTGTGTGTGTGTGTGTGTGTGTGTGTGTGTGTGTGTGCACGTGTGTATGTATGTGCTTGCTTGCTCTGTTCACCACAAAAGGACTATAGTACGACAAATTAATATGGGGTAGGCAAAGTAGGGAGCAGCATTACTCTTCCTATCAAGTGTTCTTGATTCTTCTTATTCTTTGAAAGGATACTAAATATCATGTGTATGCTTTTATTTCTGTTGCCTTGTTGCTGTTCATCTTCTTGAGGATCTTATAGTATGAGATGTCGTGTACTTTCACGAGCCAGCTAGGTGTGTTTCAGAATGATATGCTCCTCATATATTCGCCTTTTAACTATCGCCTGCAACGTATCACCTATCACCTGTCACTTGTCATCAGTCACCTGTGACCATGACAGTTTGGTGCTCCACTTCTTAACACTTAAGGCCTCCATCTTCCTCTGTTTCTGCTTTGATGTATTTTTTCATGAACTTGTAGACTACCATTGGATTTTACATTTACTTTTATTTTATTTCTAGGAGTTAATATATTTTGTGTAAAGCTGTTTCATCAAGTATGCTTCTTTCAGTCTTGGTGGAATCATGATATGCTACTGCTAATAGAATGTAAAGTCGGATGAACAGTCTCTGTTTATAACTGTACTGCATTGTATGAAGAGCGTTGTTTTATTATTACATGTACATTGCATAGATAGTCTGTTTTTTTATATTGCCTTGTATCTGGGCTTTGACTAGAGCTACTTTGCTTATGGCATGTTTGGTTTGTCTTTGCAAATTGCAAGAGAGAATGGAGGAAGGTTGCAGAAAAAAGCCTTTTGAGAATCTATAGTTTTGTTTGGAGTTTATTTACCTTTCTCTTTTCCCTGCTTCTTAGAATTATAAAGAATTTTATCTTCTCTTTAGTAACGATTTTTATTTTGATTGTCAGAAATTTTTAAAAGTTTACTGAGGGTCTAAGTTCCTTTTCTTCTTGGAAAAAGTAAATATGCTTTCTTGAGGTGTATTAAGGTTGTTCTATAATTATTTTAATTTTGGATTTCACAATTTTTCCTCTCAATTTCACCATTCTTTTTCTGTTATTCTATCAAGTGATTGCTCTTTGAGTTTTGTACTCTCATTTCAGTGGGCTTTTTTTCCAATGCTATTCTAGTTATAAAAATTCAATTCTAATTGGAAAGGGAAACATTGAAACTACACAAACTAAATCAAAGACACATATTATTATAGTTTATGGGACTCTGTGTTTCCACAATGTGTGTATACATGGACGAATACACATCAAACCTACACATAGTAGTGGTGAGACTTATGTCCCTGTTTGCCTTTGTGCTTTGTTTTTCCTGTTTGCTTATACTGTCATGTCTACAAGTGTTACAATATACAAAGGGAAAACAAATAGAAGACGACTGGAAAGGCAAATATATTTACACAAACTGTAGGGTCTACACAGTTTCATAAGTATGTACAAATGAACTATAATGAAAAATTGAAAGAGCTCACACAAGCACACAGAAAAAGCATATGTACACCAAAGACTACACACGTACACACACCAAAATGTCACCCTGGCCCCACCCCTACACCAAGAGAACAGCGGGTGGTTGGAAGGTGCTACATGTAAATCCTATTTCTTTCCTTTCCCTCTGCAATTGCTGTCTGTCTTGTCTTCATTCTTCGTTGCATTAAATGACAATTATTGTGGGAATGTACTTATAATTACACCAACAAGCAAACACGCAATTGTATCCAAAAAGTGGGTGGTTGGAGGGCGCCACTGGTAGGTCCTACTTCTTTACTTCTCCTCTGTTGTTTTTGTCTGTCTGTCTTACTTTTTCACAGCACTGAATGGCCATTATAGTGTCAGTTTGCTTCTTTTTACTCAAACAAACAAAGTATCCAAAAATAACGTCTTAATCCTTGTGCGTTCCCATATATGCATATATACATATCCACCAAAGAGATACAAACACATACCCCCCTTTCCAACTCACTGCCAACTACCCTAACACCTGACCTCTCCGCTATGGCCAGCAGTCAGAGAACCAAGACACAAGGCGGGAAACCACCTCTCTCCTGTCCTGGGCCAACTGTCGCAGATGGAGACAGGTTTCTTCTTCGGTCTCGCCCAAACTTTTCTTCGCAAACCCTCCCTTCTATATTTTCCATTTCTCCGTTTTTGTTCAGACTTTTGAAAGAAGTCTTAAGATTTGTTTCAAATTTTAACTTTCCATATTTCTTCGCATTTGCTTTTTTGCAAATTAGAAAGTCATTTCTTTTTTTAAATTGCAAAGCCATTCCTTCTGTGTTTTTTAAACTCTACCTTTGAATAAAGAGGAGATTTTGAATGATTAATAGAGACCATGCCCAAGGTTTTTTGCCCCATTTTTTTTGTATCTGTAGAACTGATGTCAATATTTTGTGGTGGTCTATGGTGGTATGATACGTTATAAAATCGTTTTCTGATGCCAACCCCCAGCCCCCACTCCAAATCTATTAAATTTTTTGTTGATTAACTTTTGTCGCTTTTTTTTACTCTATCAAAACCATTTTATGTTCCGTATATTTTTTCTTCCAAAATAATGAATAATACAAAAGAGGACCCTTGGTTGTTAATATTTTTTATTTTCTCTGTCTTTCTTCTTCTTTGCTCCATTTTTATTCCATTCAACACAAAAATACTCTTAAAAGCAGTTTAAATTGCTAACTTATCTGGGGGGGGGGGGGGGGGGGGGTTTGTCTGCCAACTCTTGTTTTTATTTGCGATTGCTTTGGGATCCCTTTATGCATACAGTAATTGAATTAATTAACGTTTTTGTTTTGCATGTGCAGGTTCCTTTTCTACGTGTGTTATAAGTTATTCTATTGCTTATGTAGATTTGGCTTGTGTCACTAATTATGCATGCACATTATTGTTTACCCTACTGCTTGTGTGTGTACAGTGTGTATGTGTTTACGACGTACTTTTCCTCAAAATAGGACACGAGACATTGATTTATCAATAGATTTCAGGAATCATTGTTTTGGTGGCAGTGGGAGTGGGGGGAGCTAACGATATCTTTCAACCACCCTGTTGGAGAAAATAGGACACTAAAAAACTGATTTTTCCGATAAATCGATATCTTTATTTACATCTTCTTGACATTATCTTGTACAAACTCCACTATAATTTTGGTTTGACTGCATGGCCTTGAATTTTGTTTCTTATCTGCACTGATTTTTTTTACAGCTTCTGCTTATTTACACATGTTCATTATATCATAATATCAGACCTCTAGCCTTCTCAATATACGTGTGTATGTGTGATCGATCTGATTGTGTGTTTTGATTTGTTTCTCCATATTATATATGAACGTACTCAGCACCATATCTCTATAATGGTCAAAATTTTCATTCAAACTGTAGAGTTGCTATCTGATTTCTAAAATTGGTACTTTTGTTTGTTGGTGGCTGATTAATAGATAGACACCAAGCGAGGGGAAAAAAGAACAGTAAGGTGGCATACATCAGAAATGTATCAGCTGAAGGTTGGATATTGCAAATTTAAAAATAAGAGTTCACCACCATTCAGAAGCAAATTGTGTGATATTGTCTAATTTTTGTTTCAATCTGGTGGCTAGAATTCCAGTAAACATCTGACTGCCACAATTTGATACACTTGTTTACGGGTGTGAAAAGTCTTGAGTATTTTTCCGGAACTTGACAGCTCTCTATTATTGAGTTTCTTGGCGTGATTTGATCCATAAGGTTTGGTCCTATTGACTTTGGTTTCGAAGGCTCGTCCAGAAAGCAGTTTAACTATATCCTGTTTTTAATGGTCCCTTTACAGCCTCATTGTCTTTCAAATTCAGAAAAGAAAAAGGATGCAAATATATCTACATCATAAATGCCAGTAACACTATCGTGTAGTCTGGAGGATGAAGTCAGCTGTAAGTGAGGGAGAGGCAACAGCACCAGGTTCTGCCCATTAGTTACCACTTTAGTGATAAACTGTAAGGTGTTGTACAGTGGGTGATTGGAGGTGCTCTGGTGTGGTTTGCTCTTTCTTTCCTATCAAACATCTATCATCCTTATCCCCCCTTCTTTTTCTCATTTTCTCTTTGCTACTCTTTTGTAACACCTCCTATCTTCGGCACTTTTGTGACCTGACTGTGTTGCATGTGTTGTAAAATGCTAACCAAAACAAAACAAACTATAAAAAAAAGTCATGGGCTGTGTAAAGGCTTAATAGGAGAAAAAAAGACCCTCTAACTATAAAGCAGTGGCCTCCAATTGGGACTTTGGAAAGAGGATATATTTAGAAATGTAGACTATGTCAATAATGTTATGTTTTTGATCTTCTACAGGAGCAGCAGTCCAAGGGGAACAACAACGGCTATGGCTTCATCGAACCGTACGAGCCCGAGTATGCGTCAGACCACCAGATCTTTGATGGCGAGTACGTGCATAGAGGGGAGGACCTGGTTCCTGACAGGTGGGCGGGCACTCTTAGTTTAGTGGGCTGGATTTGTGTTATGAGTGAGCTGTGGGTGTGGTTTAAGAGTTGTGAGTAGAGTTAATTGGCTATGGGTGGGATTTTTGTGTTGTGGGTGAGCTATGGGTGAGGCTAAAGAGCTTTGGGTGAGTTAAAGTGGTGAAGGTGGGTTAAAGATCTGGGAGTGGGATTTAACTCTTTATCTCCAGCAAGCCACTTCCAGTGGTTCGCGGTCAGAACCACTGTGCCGGTGAGCCGGACAGCGGCTCAGGCACATCCTTTATGACAACTTCGACATCAAATTACTTTTTGGCAGTTGCTGAAAACAGGTCTCTTACACAGGAAGGTCAATGATTAGATGAAGAACTATCAAAATAGGTTTGCTGGTTTCGATTTAATAACCCATTTAATGACATTTTTGTCATTTTTAGATTTAGCACCATAAAGGGGCACTGGAGATAAAGAGTTAAGCAGTGTGGGTGGGGGTTAAGTGGTGCAGGTGGCTTTAAAGAGCTGGGGGTGGTTTCATATATTATAGATGGGCTGTAGGCAGGCTTGAGTGCTGCAGGTGGGTTAATGGGTGTTGGAGGGGTTATGAGCTGTTGATAGGGTTTATAAAATTATTGCATAGCTTATTCATGTTGTTGTATCAGTCTGTGAAACATTTGTTGGGTTGGTATGGATTGAGTGTTTGAACACTGCATGTTTTATCGACTTTTTGCGTTAATGTCATATTTTGCAATTTTTGACTTGTAAACTTGCATGATTTTAAGACACAGGGTTTTCAAGTGATCTTTTCAGACAAAAATAAAGACTGACCTAATTTCAGACATACACATTCGCGACTGTCTCCGTTGAAATAGTCTCCAACTCACTTTATCTGACTACAAATCTATTTTTTGTTGTGTTTCTGCAGATACGATCCTGCCTACCACAGTGGAACAGGCTACAGCCTTAGCAGTTTTAGGGGGAACAACTTTGACAATTCTACGCCGCCTCCCACGATGACAAGGTTAACTCCCATACATATGAGCAATTCTAAACTTGCCACCGACGTATAGGGGTTCAGTCACAAAACTCATGTTTGTTTTGCTTCTTTGTTTTGTTCTTTTCAATTTGTTGCTCTTGGGCACTGATGGGAGGAGAGCTTGAAGATTCACAAGTTAGTCGGGAGATTCAGATTCAAGTTCGTGGGTTCTGACACTGAGCCCTTTTATGACGTCGTACCAAGAAAGTGTCATATTCGCAGCAAGTCAGCTTCTATGCCAGATCCAGTGACATGGTTACAATGATCCCCGGAGATTCTGTGCTCAGTTTTCACCCCACGGGATGATTATGGGGTGGAGAGATTTTCTGGCATGATGAGTATCAAGCGGAACGTGTCCTAGTGACTGCTTCCAGAGGCAGCCGTGTCTATCCTTCCATTATGTATTATGTAGGTTACAGCCACTAAACCTGCACCCTGAGGGAAAGGAATTCATGTCTCATGTCTTAGTGTCATGACCAACTCAGTTGCTGGCTTTGGTTTGCATGTACTGGTTTCCTCACAGTGTCTGTAACATGAGCTGCCATAACATGGATGGACAAAACAGGTCTGTCGATCAACAGGTGGGGACTCTTGGCAACAATTCGTTTAAAAAAGAACAGTAGAGGAACAGTTCAGCTGGAAAACAGCTTTCAAGGAGAAAAAGCGTTTTCCTTGTCCTCCTCCTCTTCCAACAAGTTGAAACGATTCACTAACCAAACTGTGGACAGTTTTGCTTTTGATGAGCAAAATTCGAATTGGACTTTTTTATTCTACAGTTTTCCAAGATCACGAAGTGTGAGTGATTTTTGCAAGAATAGCTTCAATTTTCTTGTCACTGCCACTCACATATAAGTGTGCAGACCCCCTGTGAGGTGACTGCCAGTGTTCATTACACTGAAACATCAGCACTGTATTCAGGTATCAGGATGTTGCCACTTTGTAGAAATGGAAAAGTTTGCATTATTCTTCTTCAGACAGACAGCTGTTGACAGTTCTAAGTGCAGCATTCTGAGAAACTCCACCTGGCCACAAAATTCTCACTCATAATACAAGGTAGAAACAACAGCTGCAGCATAGTACTGTAGGTTTATTGTGAGAAGGCAAAAAAAAAAAAAAGAGAAAGTTGTCACACGCATCTGTTTTCAGGCCATGTCTTCTCTTTGAAAAAATGAAAACATGGAGGAATGATGTGATTCTCAGATGACACAAATGTGTTAAGTGTCTCAGGAGGTCTCTGCCTTGGCTAGAACTACAGGATATTTTCATGGTTTGTGATCAGCACAGGCTGAGGGTGTCATCACTGCCCACAGAGAACAAGTAGCTTGAAAGTGTTGTTTTTTGGGGGTTTGTGATGAGCGCAATTAGCTTGAAACAATTAAGTGCACTTCACAGACAACTCACAAGAAGGTATCTGTGAGACACACAGGCATATGTGGAATGGAATGAGGGATTTATGGATTGCAGAACCCAAGTGCATGGTATGATTCATAAACAACTGTACATCATAGACAGCATGGAAAAGGGAGGCTTCCTGATTATCCTTCTTTTCTCACTGTTTTCACTGACAGTGCATCAAGGTTTACCATAGTCTGAATATGCTGCTAATAAAGTCTCTTGTCCGGAGAGAACTTTAGGCAGTCTGTAGAAATGCAACTATTTTCAGAAGGATTCAGAACTTACCTGTGCCTGGAAAAAGAAGTGAGGTCAACTGTGGAATGAAAGAGTGATATTTACTGGCACGATGCTGTTTAGCATAAGCTGTGTGTACAGTTCGACTGAGAACAGTTTTTCCTATACGTTACTAAGGAATATTCCAAACAGAACTATTTGGAAAAAGGAGTCAAGCAGGTGAACAGTCCAAAATTAGACAAACTGCCATATTTGGGGAATACTGCGGATGAAATGATTATTGAAAGAGTCAAGGAAAATCTTGATTCTTTGCCTCTTTCTGCTGTTACAATGACAATACAAATGTAGATGTTCATGTGTAGTGTTCTGTTGTTGTATATATGTTTATTGAAACGATCGCCCTCCAGAATGTAGCTTGAGGTGGTCGCTGTACACATTAAGATGGTTGCTCTTTAGCAATTTTTCTAATAGATATTTGGTAGTTGAATTAAATGCCAAGGAAAGTCTTGTCATATAAGAACCATTGTACTAAAGAAGAATAGCATGAATTTCTCTACTAGGTAAAACGCTGAATTTTGGAAGTTATGTAGCACTTGGTGTGCCGAAAAAACTGTCTTACTAATTCTTACCAACATAATTGTTTATTTCTTATAAAGAAAAGCAGTTTGTTTCTGTTTGAGAGTTTGGCCATGAAGGGACCACTGTAAGCTACACTTCTTCACGCTCATTTTCAGGGTGTAATTATTGTGTGTCTCAATACAGCCCGCCGTGACGCAACAAAACAATAAGATAAATATACCGTGTACCTGAACATGACCTTAACTTCTGTATACACTTTGTGTGTAGAGGTTCTTTGAGAGTTTGCATGTCCATGTTTGATTCACCAAATATTTATTGAAATGAAGCAATAACATTTTCTCTCATGGAGTGCTAGTGTGAATACTGTGTGAATGAGTGAGCTATTGAAGTTCATTCAAAGTTCAAAGTAATCAAACATTTAGTGTGATTAAGAGATGTATATACATGACTGCTTTACTGAACTTTTTCTACGAGCAAGTTGGTTTTACTTTGGGTTTTTTAAGTGTTGTTTAATATTAATCATGTTCTGTGTATTCTATTTAATATTCAATTAGTTCCATGCAGACCCTGACATGGTGTTGTAGGCAATGCTTCAAACTTTTAAGTTCATAAGAACAGCGAAGATAAGCATGTCATTGTTAGTTTTTACGTTGATGAGAAATATGTTCTGTTTGTAACACGTAAATTAATATGACTGCTGTACCAATTTAGTGGCTGTATGATGATAGAGATACAGTAACAAGTGTGGCAAATAATTAAGTATTTTTCCAGATTCGCTTTTGAGCACATTGACCGTTGGGTGGTCTTCTGTTGTATATATCCTCTGTGTAAAACTGAACTTAGTATTGTGGAGAAACTATTGTCTCAATGAGTTTGTTAGTGGGTTTCTGTCATGGTTTGCTTCTTGTTCTCTATCAAACATCTATCCTCCTTATCTCTCTGCCTTCTTTTCTTCTACTCTCTAAGACCCGAATACTGGTCACGGCACAAGCTCAGTTGATAGATTACAAGGTGTGCTAAGATGTGGATGACCCTGGTTCAAATGTCACACAGGTTATTTGTATAATCAGGTTGTTTGAGGGAGTTTCTGTGTCTCTCAACTCAGTAGGATCATTCTTAACAGGGTTGAGGGAGTGTATCCTTATATTATAGATTACTTGGTTGTCGATGTTTATTACTAGTGAAAAAAACCCTCAACACCACTGTAGCCTTTTTACTATGGAATGTGATGTATAACAGAATGCCTCTACTCCACTTCAGTGCTGCTTTTTCTTTTCTTTTTATTTCCAGTAGACATTTAATGTGTTGCCTTTCCATGAAACTTTTAGTCCGGTTTACAGTCATGTAAATCCAAGGTAAACAAAGAAATCCAAATATCAAAGTTTCACCTGAAATTCAATTTCTCTTGATTTTTGGTCACCATCATTTTAGGTGTAGTACATTCATATTCAGAGTGAAAAGAATGTCTTGTAACCCTATAGAGGGTTTTTTCTGACTCATCAAACACTGAAGAGTGAATGAACCCAAATCCAGGGACAGAGAGAATAGAAGAAGAATCTGGTTCCCATCTTTTTTGTATATTTCCCATATTTTTTTGTATTTCTTTCAGCTTTACTATTATAAAATAGTCGAACCTGTCCAAGATGATGTCCACCCATTGTCGATGAGAAAAGTGGTCATCCTAGACAGGTGGTCCATTAGGACAGTGCTAATGTAGAAAAAAAACAAAAACAAATGGGAGAAAGTGGGACTTTGTCGTTTGTACAAATGTTTTTCTTTGTGCGGATATTTTTGGGGGGCAGGTGGTTGTTTAGAGCAGGTTTGACAGTACTTAGCTTACCCTTTAGTTTGTTTGGAGTTCAACCCAAGAGAATTTATCAACAAATGCTACCTACATTGTAGTCACAACCATTCTACCAGCAGTTGGGGCCAAATTCATCTCGCTGTTTTGACATTTAAACTATAGCTTCACAGAAACATGTCCTCAGCCATTACCATAATGTTAGGGAGAAGCATAAACAACAAAAAAAAGAATTGTGGCATCATGGTGGAATCGGGTGCTCATCAAAATAATGAAATTGAAGAAATTGACCTTTTCCAGCCTGTTTGGCAGTTTCCTTCAATTTCTTTTTTGTTTAGGCTCAAAAACTTTTTATGTTCATTTAAAAACACATTCCTACATGGACCTTACTGAAAAATGTTGATTAAAGGCACGCAGATTGTACAATTTACAGTTTCCAAGGACACTCAAGCTTTTGAAGTCGCTAACGAAGAGTATTTTCTTGCAAATTTTACCAACCCACCTCCTTCAACCGTAAATATCATGATTGCTTTTCAAGATGGATGGGGGGGGGAGGGGGAGGTTTCATCCAAAGAAGGGTAAATGAATAAGCTTTATGATGATACTGAAAACTCAATATGCCCAAAGCTGAGAAGCACCTGGTTCCACCTCATCGCGACACAATTACTCTCATGTTGCATCTCACACAAGTATTTCCCCTCACATAGCATGTCTCCACTACCTGCATACCTGAAGGATTCCAGTTCTGACATCACTCTCCCCTCACTACAAACATAAAATTTTACTTTGAAATGTAGTGGTAGAATGTTATGATCACGTACAATGAAAACGGAATAAAGAGCAGACAGACAAAGTGGGTACTGGGTGTCTCAAAAGTCACTGAGCTGCATTGCTCTCTATATTTCTTTAATAGTTCAGTGAAATCTGTCCCAGACGAATACCAATGTTTTTTAATCAGCAAAATGGTCATCTTAGACAGGTAATCCTCTTGGACGGTGAGGGAGCCATCATAATAGTAAAAATGCAAGCGGCAAAGTGGGAAGTGATCATACCAGGGTGATTGTCTTGGATAGAGGTTACAGCAGGTTCTGGTTTGACAGGGGTTTTTTTTACTCTCAGAAACACTTTGTCGCTCATATGACCTTATGTAGTAGTGAGCGCCGTAAAACCTCTACTAAAACAAAAAAACCTGAAACACATGAGAGGATGAAGTGAAAACAAAGAGAAGTGTTCACAATATACTGTACCTGAGATATGTATGTTGTAGTGAAAACAATGTAGTCACATCATATGTCTTTTGTAACCAAACACACAGCAGTGCAGTCTGGCCACTTTTTGAGACACCCTGTATTTTCTTCCACTCAAATTACGAAAGGGTCGACAATTATTAGTAATATCATTATTCTCCCATGAATGTTTCTCATTATAATAATTATTATTGATCAAATTTTTGTCTCATAGATTTGGTTGCGGTTCTTCTGCTTCTATGTTCATTGAGTGACTTGTGATTTATACTATGTTTCTTCTATAAACAAGGAAAAACAGGTGTTACTTTCATTAATTTTATGTTTCGCAACATTTGTAAGAGACTATTTTATATACCTATTTGCAGGTCATGATGTGAAATTGATGTAGCTGTTTTTATGAAAATGTTCTTGTGATACTGTGTGTTTTTAATTTAAAATCAAAGTTGTTGTTGTGTCTCTTACAGAGTGGGTTGTTGTACAGTTTGGAAAATGTACAATTAAGAATATTGATATCATTTTGTGAAGACAAAGACTGTATTACTGCAACCGTATGGGGCTAGAGTAATATAATTCTCTCAAGGCTGTTCATTTAGAATAGAACACTAGGAAATATCACAGAATGAAAATGAAAACAGGTTTGACAGGTGTTTTTTAAATTTTATTTTCATCATCAAGACCAGCAAAACAGATGAGGATTAAAAGTATCAGAAAAAAAGTAAGTGTATGAGATAAAGGAAACAGGCAAAAACAGACCTAAAAGTAAAGAGCAACTATGTTACACTTTAAACAAAAACAAACTAAAAAAAACTGATTGTATATGTGTCACAACGCGGTGGAATCGGGCGCTCGTCAATTTTTGGGCATGTGTACTTATTGGTATCATCTTAGAGGTTTTTCATTTGCATTGCTTTAACTGAAAAAAAAATCTATTTATCTTGAATAGAAATCGAGATATAGCGATTGAAGGAGATGGGGTCAACTGGTTTCAGGAGTATAATTAGTGAGGAAATGGCCGCCAAAGTTTGGTGACTTCCACAGCTTAAGAGTCCTTGGAAACAGCAAATTTACATTCTGTGTGCCTTTAATCAATGTTTTTTTCATACAATCCACACATAAAGATGTTTTTGAATGAGTATACAAGGCGTAGAGCCGAAAAACAAAATTTCGAAAAAATAATCCCAAACTGGCCGAAAAATTCCAATTTCTCAGATTTCATTATTTTGACGAGCGCCCGATTTCACCATGATGCCTCCTATAAATAAACACACTAAACTTTCAGTTAAAGTAGCTTGGCACATATCTTTGCAACAACTCTGCAGGGAACAAACAAAACATAATGTGCAATGTCATTTTGTTAGCTTTGTGAACTACGATGTCATGTTAGTATTTCATTTTATAAGATGGAAAGATTGAAAGAGGATGGTGAGGGTATGAAAGTCAAAGGAAACAGGAGAGAAAAATCTCATGATCGTGTGAGTGAGTAGAGTGAGTGCACACAGATGTAATTAACTCCACTGTAAGTCCAGGGTCTCACTACGACAAAATGGCAAGCCAGTTATCGCCACCTTAGAATTACAAAGAGCTATCTGACATTTTTTACCATTCTGAGTTACTAAGACCATGGGGTCAGAAACCAAGTTTTCTATCCGCTATATCAAAATCGTAAGATTAAATTCAGAGTCATTATCAAGATATTCAAAGAAATACATTTGAAAAAGCTTGGACATGTTGTGAAAATCAAATTTTTTATGTCATATTTCTCAAAACTTGGAACTGAGCCGATAGAACTTTGTAATTCTGAGGTAGTGAGTCATTTTGTCTGTGAGTTGTGGACGATAATAGAGAAGAGAAAAAAAAGAGAAGCCTATACCTCACCAAAACAACACAATTATTTAACAGTGCGACAGTTGGTCAACTGTTTTGTCGGTGAGATGCAGACAATAAAAATGAGAGAAGCCTACGGCACCAACTGGACACAAATGTTAAGTCATGTTTCTCTTATTTTCACTGTCCACAACTGACCAACAAAACTGGTGGCCAACTGTCTTGTTGTAGTGCAATACTGGGTTTAGTTGTTGTGAAAGTAGACCCTACCATTCTCATTTATGCTAATAACTTGAGAAGTATCTGTGAGACTTTGTCTCTTTGAGCGTTTCTGTACATATATCTATATATTATGACTGTTTGAAAGCATGATTGTGATGCTGTAATGATTTGATAAGTGTGCCCGTTTGCAGAATAAATATTATTGTTATTAATGTTACTTTACCTAATGATGATGATGGGATCTATGAGGTCCAAAAAAAATATTGAACCAATTTCAGAGTGTGCAAGAAAGGTTCATATATAGGCTGTCATTGACAGTGGTTAAGTGAAAGATTTTTTTTAATGGACATGGAGATTTTAAAAAGATACACATACGCACACAAAAAAAGAAAAAGAAAAAATGTATAACCACAGGCCAACATTATGCAGATTTCTAATATAATACCAGGTATCACATCAACATGATCTGTACGAAAAGGCACACCAAAAGCAGCATGGAGAGTACTTAATCTTGAATTGGACAAAGCGTTGAGAACATTAATTCATGAGAGTTCCATTTGGGGTAGACGTTTTCGATAAAACAAATACTTAACTCTCTGTCAGCTGAGAAGTGTCCTTGCCAACCTCCAAAATGATCAAAATTGTGTTAACAGAAGCATGAGGCATTTGCAACCCAATTAGCAACAAACATTAACCAAATGTGCATTATGATACCTGCAAAGGTCATAGATGCATAGAGCTAGGTGCAGTCCAACACAAGATGGCAAAGAACTGCCAATACAAAAGAAAAGTGCTTTAATAAATGTTGAGCTGTTTCTTAAAAAACAGTCTGGCATTATTTTATCCTTCTATCCTCCTCTTCCCTGTGATTTACAACAATACCTAACATGTTGTTGGACAAGCAGACAGTAAATATCTTTCCATCCCAACCAAGGGTACATAACACAAAGACATAGCAAGGAGTTCTGCGCCCTGCATGTGTCAGATGAATAAAAAGGCCATAATTTCAATAACAGAACAGAAAGGAAAAATGTACTGAAAAAGAATTATTCGGAGAAACTTAATCAATTACAATCAAATTTTAACAGCCTTTAATATGCAAGACAAAATCTTCAGAGTATTACTCAAGATAAAACAAAAGAAATACTATTATATTGTCTATCCATATTTATTTACACATTTTTGAAACCCAACCTACCTAATGTTCACACTGATCTCCCAACCTTTCCCTCCTCTTTCCCATCAGCACAAACCATTCCCACTAAATGATATCCCAGTTTATCACAGTTTACTCCCTCTCTACCCTTTCAGATTTAAACAACTCTTGTATAACACAAATTCTGCTTAATAATATTGGCACAAGACGTCAGTTGTTATAATATATCAAAATATAGATGTGTACAAATGTATGTTAAATTGGTGAATGGGGAAATTTGTGAAGCAGAAAAACATGAAAGGACTGAAGTGTTGAAAGTGAAACGTGCAAAAAAGTACGAATGCAGAGATTGTTGTTTAGAAGAATTGAAGAACAGCTATGAGCATGCCCTGCACATCCACATCAAGTTCAAATTTCATCCTTTCTGCTTTGAAATATCGCCCTGGTCATGATTTGAACATATGTACGTGATTTGTTTCTCATTGGTCATTTATTAATTCTCCATGATTTTTTTAATCATACAGTCCACAGGCCATAAGTCATATATCAATAAAATGATTGACAGAAAACTGAACTGTTTCCAAAAATCTATTTTATGTTCCATTTTGAAACGTGAATTTTGTTTTTCTTCTTCATTGGTTTTACAAACAAGTCTTTCAAAGATTTGGAAAATCTGGGACAAAACAGGACAAACGGGAGCGGCAGTTTTTCCCTGTTATAACCGTTATCAAGGGAAACTACCAGTACCATTGCACCTTCAGCTTACTATATATATATATATATATATATATATATATATATATATATATATTTTCGATTACCGCAGATCCTTTTCCAGTGGACTGTTTAGCGGACACTGAGATGGAATCGATCAGCGACCCCAACTCTATGGGGGGTATGTGTTTAAAAGTGGGTGTTTAGGAAAGCGACCATACAAACAGGCGAAATGTCTTGGTTGAGACAAATTTTATTAATTTGATGGAATGAAAGCAAGTTCATGCGCTGCAAGATCACTGTTGTACCCAGGGTAGCACAAATTGAACCCTGTTATAGCCAGGTTTAGGTTACTTACACATAGAGAAAAAAAAAAAAAAGGATTTGATTTATCACTGTTATATCCAAGTTCCTGAAATAACAGAAGCTGTTAATAAATAGACTGGACTGTAGATGCTTTTTACACCCCCTTCAACACAATTTAGATCATTTAAAAAGTGAGCTTCGAACCTGCCTATCAGAGTCAACCCAGGCTGAGAAGAATACTACGTCCCAGTAAAAAGATTGAGATACTCAAAAATTCTCATCACATAGGAAAGAAATGTGGGACTTCTAATTATGTCGAACCTACTTGTAGTGCGATCAAAAATTCATGGGGCAACTCAAATTTTTTCTAAACTCTCCAGTTTTTTCCCAATGACCTGTACAAATGGATCAGTTTGTATTAACATAGGCCTATCAATATGTTTGTAAACACCTGTTAGTTGTATTCTAGAAAATTCCTTAATAAATACTAATTTTTTTTAACCCAAGAGTGGTTTCTGCAGATTTTTTAAGGTTTACAGCTCTGACAATATCGCTTTTAAAAACAAGTCCGTCATTTTCTAATCGTGACACAATCTTTACTGAATGCACGTTATGAGAAAATTTAGCACAAAAAACGTGGTCCCTGTAAAATATATTTCTTGTAACAAGTTTTGCCAATAAAAAGTGTCATTGGTGAGCTGTGACGTAAGCCATGTGCAATATGCAAAATGAGTGTGAGAAGCGGGAAATGCTGTGAACAATCCCATTTTCTGTGTGATGGAGATTTATAGTATTTTATGTAAATTTATGACGAAGAGTATATTAATATAATAGCCTTGATTGTAGTGGAAAATATGATTACGTTAAGACAAATTGATACAAACTGCTGTGCAAAGTATGGATAACATTGATCCACCCATTAAAGGGATATTTGAGGATATGTTGGCTACAAATTTTTGACCGCACTATAGTTGTATTTATTTACCGTTAGTACTCTATACATCTATCACCATAGCCAGTCTATCAGACCAAAACTAAATTTATTACAGAACAAATTTCAGATTTCATTCAATCACACAGATTTGTATTTTAAATTACGATTATGATAAGTGAAAGCGATGTTATTTTGAATCCTAGCAGTGATGTGTCTTCATGATAATGCATGGAGTCTATGGCAAATTCATTGGGCTCTCCGCTGGTGAGTGCAGAGGACACGAGTTCAATTCCCAGGTGGGAAAGTTATTTTATCGAATATGTCTATCTGACTGCTGGGAAGCTGTAGGCTATCCTAATCAGTACAGATTGGCCTTGACAGAAAAATTATCTAACTTGTCTTTGTGTGGGTTAAAGTGAAAGGAATAATTACAGTCATATACAATAAAGTAAGTCATTTCGGTTTTCCTTTCTACTCTTTAAGTTTAAGAGACAAACTGAAAGGCTCAGAAAGTGATGGGCAGGTTTGTGGACTCTCAAAAAAGCAAATATATCGTAGATCAATAGTTAAACCTGTCCAAGCTGACCATCCATGGTCGAGGAGAAAAGGTGGTTTTCTTGGACAGTGTTGTTATAAAATAATATTGAAGAACTACAATCAGGGGGACAGGGAGGAGAGGATGGGAAGTATTGTTCAAACGGGTGATTGCCTTGGATAGGTGGTCATAAAAGCAGGTTCAACTGTATAAACAAATATCAGACACCTGTTTTGAATGGCCCAAACCACAACTCGCACACACTCTAGTCTTAGATGGAGTAAAGAGATCTGCACAACAAAGAAAATATGTGTGTGGCTCTGAGAAAACCCTTCACAAGGTGCAAAATTTCAAAATGAACTTTTTTGCATATTTTAAAAGACACATCTTTTCCAAGCATTTTGCACTTTATTTGAAAGCAATTTGAGCATTTTGTGAAAATTTTGGCATTTTAAAGCGAACAGGGGTTCGAGTGTCAAATTTTGAGAAAACAGGTTTTAAAGTTTTGCTTACTTTGGGAACACATTTTCCATGATGACAATGCATAGAAGCAAATAATGCTGATACCACAGCATAGAGGTGCCATTTGTGGACAGTTTGCTTTTTATTTTAGTGAAATACCTCTCTTCTATGTGAAGTTATGACTGTTTTTATGTTACAACAGAAAATCACTGAATTACGTAAAAACGCGTCAAAAAAATATTATGCTCCTCTCGTGTCATACCAGCAAAAGACAAACGCAGGTCGTCAAAAGCAGTTGATTCGAACTGGCTGTTGCAAGGCAGGCCATCATTGAGCTTGCAGAAGCACTTCAGGCCCTTCAACTTCGCAAAGCTGTCTGCTCCACACCCTTACCTTCTGGCACCATAAAGGCTGTCACTGTCTCGTTCTCTATGAAGGTCATCCCTAAGGCATCATCCTCGTCTGTAGATACAGAAATTAAAAGAGAGCGATTTAAAGGTGTGCAGCTTGCATAATGAAATTTATAGTGTTGTACACCACTGTATTTAAATGACCACTATTAGTTCAAATAAACCAGTGATTAATGATCACCAATTGAGAATAATTTGCTCCGTGATCCCTTTACAGTTGACAGGTTGCAACAAGAAGCCAGAATTTTTGTCCATCATTCTGTCACCTCTTGTTTTCGTTTTGCCTCGCTGTATTTTTATGGACCTACTCAGTTTAAGAAATTCACTTTCATGTGACGACAAGTTTGTGACAGATCATCACTGCGATAGTGCAGCATCTCTCTTTTCTTGGTTCTTTTCAAGTCAAATAATTAAAGAGTATGTATTCAGAATAGATATGAGCTTTTGCCAAAAGGTGGGGTTGTTTGCATGAGGACTTTTTAAATCAACCACTACTCGTGGTAAAATATGTTTTCTTCTGAAAACTTTATGCATATGGCAAGGAAATAAGTTGGTCAAGCTGCATGAGCAAGTAGATTGATTTGTGCATCTTATATCTCTTCATAGAAAGATAATAGTACAAAAAATAGGGCATTTTTTACTCATCCTGAGTGCACACGTAATTGTATGTTAAATACAGAATATTGTTAATCTTAAACTATCAAACAGTAGAGCATTCAAACATTGAAAATAGTTTTTATACACCATCATAGCAGCATGTGTCCATTAAAAGGGTTTTATGTTTTTATATTAATGATGTTATTGCTGAGTAAAATTTATAAGTTCGTTCATAACTCGTGTCATAATTACATCATCAGACTTTCCAAGGTCTAGAAAACCCTAATCGTTAAACATATCATCCCGGGGAATGACCGGTATTAAACATTGGTTTGACATTGATCCATCAGAAGGGTAATTTTCCGCTCCATCCGATGGCTTTGCTTAAATATGACTTTGATTGAGATAATCCAGGTTTATCATAATGATGTTATGAACAAACACTTTATGATATTTCTGCAAAATATCAAGTGAGGGACTTCCCACTGTTTCACAACATCCTTTTACATGATGGAATGAACATGGAAGAGTAGCGTGCTGATGACTCAAAAGAGAAGCGAAGAAGAGGCAAAAGTATGCTTGTCATAATGGATTGTCATCATGTTATGAACATGACATTGTGTCATAATGGTTATGAACGAAACCTTATTCCATGTAATTTACAGTTGTTTTGGGATATATTTTTAATTTTAACCCAACTTGAGGATGTATTAGACCTTGCTTACATTCTGATATTTTGATTTTTATCATGAGTGTATGGGTATGTATTTTAATCAGTATTTTTCTTTTGTAGTAATTGTTATGAACGAACTACATATTGTACTCTGAGGGCTTTCCAGAGTTGATAAACATTAAAAATATGTACACAGATACATATTATGAGGAAACTTTCATTTAATATAAAATTTTTAAGTAAATGACAGGTCAAAATATTAATTTTTAGGTCAGGTAATAGTTTCTGATGACAACCCACCATCGGCACGATGATGGATACCGACTTACCATCGGTTTCCGATGACAACCCACCATCGGCGCGATGATGGATACCGACTTACCATCGGTTTCCGATGACAACCCACCATCGGCGCGATGATGGATACCGATTTACCATCGGTTTCCGATGACAACCCACCATCGGCACGATGATGGATACCGACTTACCATCGGTTTCCGATGATAACCCACCATCGGCGCGATGATACCGACTTACCATCGGTTTCCGATGACAACCCACCATCGGCACGATGAAGGATATCGACACACCATCGGAAACCGACGACAACCCACCATCAGGACGATGTCGGGTTCCCACACACTATCGGAAACCGATGATCACCCAACATCAGAACGATGTAGGATAAATGTGTCTTTCCGATGGTCAACCGATAGCACCGCTGTCACACCATAGCCTTTACTTTGTCCATGCTCCCATCCCTATTTTATCTTAGTCGTTTGATCCTAAAAATAATTCCCTCAATCAAAAGTTGAATCCATGTCTCTAATTCAAGATGTTCTTATAAAATCAACACCAAGGTGTATATAATATATATGTTAGTACAATTTCCCCAAACCTAGACCATGAGTCCATTAACAGTAAGACATGAGACTGCAGCCATGGGTAAACAAGCTCAGCTGTGTGGGGGTTTAGTTTTGGTATAGAGGTTTTACAGCGCTCGCAACTGCATAAGGTCATATGAGCGCCAGAAGTGATGCAATGTAGACAGATGGAAACAACAAAACAAAGGGAAGAAAAGAAGATGGGACCTGTCAATGTCACCCACAAACTGCCAGCATACACATTCTATATATATATATAATATCTAATCACTGCATCGGCTACTATAGGCCAGCATTTTGAACATGGTATATTATAAAATGTCACTGATCAGAAATTTCAGCTTGACGTGAATTTATGTTTCAAAATTACTTTTTATAATAGATGATCTTTTATGTCCCCATACAATTTAGATCATTAAGAAGTCAAGATTCAACTCTGATGTCAGGGATTCAACTCTGATGTCAGGGAAAACCCAGGTTGAGATGAACGCAAAGTCCCAGCAGAAAGATCGGGATACTCGATAAACAAATTCTCCCTTCACAAGGTACCGTAATCAAACTTGGGTCTTTTCCATGAGACTGCAAAAAACCTAGCCACTACACCACACATGCTGGTCACATTACAAAGTGTTATAACTTAGGCCCTAAACATAATAGTATAAGACAACTCTGATCTGCAAACTGATCTGTCATCATATATGAAGAACCGTAGGCAGCTGGTTTGCACAAAGTTTGCACATAATAATATGTCAGGTACCTTCAAAAGACAACTTTTCTGCATCGTGGTTCAACACAACGCCACATGATCTTCCAAGGTAGGAGTCTTTGTTGGAACTATTTTAGCGAAACAGAAACACATCTGCTCGACTAGGTACATAATATTCTAGGGCTGGGACAAAAAGCAAGACAGATAAAATATAAGAAAACGTTGCTACTGTTACAAACTGCAGATCGAGGACACATAATTTCCTAAAGTTGGGTATCAACAGCAACTCTGCGGAAAATTCAGTCCCCAATCGTAGACATTTAATTTTTTGTTATATTCTGGCTCTCTGACTCCAAATTTATATCATTTTCGATTTTTAACCCCTCCCGAAGTTCTACCAAAATGCACCTTTCAACATCACCAAAATGCAGCTTAATGAATGCTATGGTCAAGAATTACAATTGTCTTGCTTTTTCAAGACTCCCGATAGGAACACAACAAAAACTAGTTTGGTTTTTTTTTTGTCTTAGGTGTTAAAAGTACCCAAACGGATTTAAGTGAATTGCTCGCGACACCAATGACTTACAGGCATTTTTCCACACCCCAGCACACTCAGTCCACAACAACAACACCAGGACTGCACTCATTCACCCCCTAGGACACTCCTTTACTGTGAGGAAGAACGCTCAGTCCACAACAACAACACCAGGACTGCACTCATTCACCCCCTTGGACACTCCTTTACTGTGAGGAAGAATGCTGAAGTCGGGGTCCGCCCAGCCCACCGGCCACATGCCTGCCCCGCTACTGCCTGGACACGTGTCTGCACTGTAGCGATACACTTCCAGGCCCGTCCAGTCACTTCTGTCCACTGCCCACCCAACCGTCACCTGTTTGCTACACCCGTGAGGGTGAGACACAACCACCACCAGTCCACCCCTTTCTTCGCGGGTGTACCGCATGTTGATCTCTCGCATCAAATCCCACCGCTGGCGGCTGAGAGCTTGTAGTTTGTCGCCAAGATCAAGATCATGAGTCCAACACACAAGCAAACACCCATCAGTCTCGATGTCCGCCATTTCAACGCAACCACCTGCCAGTTTCAGCACTGTGGAATCTCTGTCCACATCACTATCGTAGAAAAGTTCTACATCAGTGGCCTTGCTTTCTTCAGAGTCAAAGACCACGTGTAACGCTGTGAGAAACATTAGCTCGTACCAGGCTGAGGAAGGCTTTCCCGACTGTCCGCACTCAGAACACGGACACTCCCCTCCTTTCCCCTCACCCAGCACACCTCGGGGAAAAGCATCAAACAGCCACCCACTGCCAAAACGATACGGAACTGTCTTGCCACGGAATCTGGAAAAGGGATAAGCACTCTTAGAGTTGGGAAGAAACTCTGGACGGGACATACTGGTATAGTTCACAACTAGACGAACCGTCAGTTGAGCACATAGACCGATTGTCTCCAACAGTTGCTTGTCCTGAAAGCCGGCTGGAAGGTGTGTCAATGAGAACTGCGGTGATGGGATAAAGTTTTTGTGACCAGGATTTTTCCCACATCTTCCTTTTTCTCTGTGAAGATCTGCTTCACCGCCGTAGGAGACTTCCACCTCATAGACTCCTGGGAGAAATTTGGACACAAAGAAGAAAAGAAAAGAGTTAAAAACTTCAATACAAGCAAAGCTAGGGAGACTATTTATTTCCGCACAACTTATCCACTACACCTGAGCTTTATCATCTCATAAAGCATGATATGTCGGCAGTTGGCTGGTACTCTGGTGTGGCTTGCTGCTTCTTTCCTATCAAACATCTATCGCTCTTATCTTTTCTTCTTCTTTTTTGTTTATTGCTCTCTTCTTAATTCTTATAGCATCTCTAATCTTCAGCACTTCTATGACCTTATTTAGCTGAAAGTGCCCAAAAACTCACACTAAAATAAACATAAAGCATAATATAAGAGGCAAGATTCTTAACACCGCTGTGATGTCAGCATGTTTCCCACTTACATGTGGTCTAAATAGAGTCAACAAGGGCATGGAACATGTGTGAGTGTGAGGCAGCGTGGTGAAATTAGACACTCGTCAAAACAATTAAATCAAAGAAAAAGGCATTTTGCTGGGTGTTGGGTAATTTTATTTTATTTCTATTTTTGGATCAACACCTTCGTGTCCTTCTAAACCCGCATTTCTGAGTAGATGTTGTTACCTCAAAACACTCATTAAAGGCACAAAAAAATGTAAACTTCCAGTCTTCAAGGACCCTCAAACTTTGGAAGTCACCAAATTTTGGCGGCCATTTTCTCGCCAATTTTAACCTCTCATACAAGGTGACCCCTAGAAATGCCCTAAAATTAACAAGCGCCCTATTCCACCGTGTTGTGACACATACAACTTTTTGTGTAGCTTTTTTTGGTACTTTACATTTTTATATTCTTGACCCTTTCTACTATTCTGGTTCCTTCTTACTGATGTCTTTCAGCCACACCCTGATCATAGAGAAGGTAAGATCAAACACTAGCCTTCTCAGATAAGGGTGAAAAAATCTTGGAGATCCCATGTGTTAAGTTGCAAAAGTTATTTTAAGATCCCTTAGAGGTTCTAAATTCGATGAGAGTAGGCTTCGGCCGCCACCTGGGCAACATTCAAAATTCCTACCAAAACTGAAAATATTCTAGTCAGTATACGACATATAAAGTCCCTTCAAAATTGGAATGTGGCTGCCTGATGGCAAAAGGGCCCTCTGAAGTAGGAAAAATGGATACATTCATAAAAATCAGTTGCCCTGCTGAGATCTACAGGGGGAACGCAAAGAAGAAGGTATACATGGACAGAATATCCACAAAAGCAGCATTCCCACCCATCTCTCAACTTACCCTGAGTCAGACGAGCTTCAGCAGCCAATCTAAGCCTTTCCAAGGTGTGGTCCTCTGTGTCTCCTTTCTCAAAACTTCCACAATCAGAGTCCTGTGATCCACACTGCTCCGCCATCTCGATATATCTTATCCTGCCAATAAGAAGAAAGTGGGACAGGCTGTAGCTCACTGGAAGTAAGAAAAGAAGACAATTTTAACAAACTATCCGTCATAACCTGTGGCATTATTTTTTTGGGCGCCACTATTTCTCTGAACGTTCGGGAAAATAAAGCTGGGCACTATTTCTCCGAACACTCTGAAGAAATTCACATCCTTTCCCGCAAATTTCGGATATTATATAGAGTATAGGCCTACCAAAGATTGTTCGTATACTATATGGTTCAATTGATCCGAAAAATGTCTGCAGTAAATATTTATAATATAAAGAAATGCTACAGTTCCAAACAGTTTTTCACTACAGATATGACGTGTTGCCTATGAAGGATGCTGCTCTTAAACTTAATGTGTTGGTTCACTCGTGTGCTGTCTAGATCTACATCTACGGAGGGTTATTGATAACGACACATAGAACTAGCATCTGCGTTTGTCGCGGCCGCAACCAATCAATCGTGGCTCGATTTTTTGGCATTTTTTTGGCCCCTGAATCGGGGAATAAAAGTCAATTTAAAAAAGAAAAAGAAAGAAAGAAAGAAACCGAACCTATTTACTTTTGAAAGAAAGTTAACTTAGCTTCACTTCGTCTCTTTCTCACTCGTTGTCACCACGTTGATTTGTTGAATACGTAAAAGTTACTTTTATTTTTCCCTCTTTGACGCTTTGTGGTGTTTTATTTTGTTAGTGTGTAGGGTTTTTTTCTTGTTATTGTTCTGATGTGTTGTTTTTCAATCATTTTTTTTTGTTGGGGAAAAGGGAGGGGGGGGGGGGTGTTGTATAGTGTAACGTCATTTAATTTGATGTTCCTACCTTCATTAGATTCTAAATATATATATACATGTATATATATATAGATTTAAATGTGTATGTCGTTAGAGCGTACGTTCCACCAAAACCGATTACATGTACTGACACTGGCAGGCCCCTTAATGTGTGTGATTCCATAATTTACATGTAGGCCTAATCTCATGTACTTTTTAAAAAATGTACGCACATTTACGGTCAATCTTCTTCGGACAGGTGGACACACGCCCTTATTTGTTAATTTTTGTTGTTGTTTATGGGCTGTTCTAATTTTGATTTCATCCTGTTGTGAAACCTTTCTTTTTCAAGTTTTTACACTCATCTAAAAATCTCTAGACTAGCTCTTGAAAATTGAAATAGATAGGCCTATAGACCCAAAAATTTGCTCCTGTGTGTGTGTGTGTGTGTGTGTGTGAGTATGCATATGCGTGTGTGAGTGTGTCTGTGTTTGGTAGTAAGTCAGTGTGTAAGCGGAGAGTGAGGAGTGTGTGTGTTTGTTTTTCGGGCTTTATTTCAGCCTTTATTCAGAAACAGTTCAAAGTATACAAAAATAGAAACACAGGATCCATTCACTCCAGGGCTCATGAGTCGCAGTTTCACTCATTCATTCAATTCTCGTGTTCTCTCCCGCTGCTCATCCCCATTCGAATGACTTTCACACCCCACCCCCTCCCGTGTCGTCGTCTTGTAGTTGCTGTCGCCTGTGGATACACTCGTACATTCTTCCTTTCACCCGCTCTTTCACTCACACTGTCTCTCCATCTACAGGTCAGCTCGTCATACATTCAAAAGTTGCCCACTGATCATGTTTAGTTAGTTTGTGTATAAGTTTGTATGTGCATGATGGTGGTGGGTGTTACTGAAGATTGTATGTAAGCGGGCTTGCCATGAGGTGTTCCTTCCCAGACCAGAGGCAGAATGAAAGTTGGCACCGAACTCTCGCAATAAATAGGCAAAAATCACGAGACTGGAAGCCGGAAACCGTTTGGAGAAAAAAAGATCGGCACTATTTCTCTGAACGTTCGGAGAAATAGTCACTTCGTTATTTTTTTAGTCTGCTGCAAGATCCCTTACAAATCTGCACAAAAAGTAGATCATCTGAAACAAACACAAGAACATTAAAAAGTTCTATAAATTACATACAAATCATCTTTTCTTAAATAGACTAGTAAAATAATAGTACAGGCCTAGGTTTAATGGCCCTATCATCAATTAAGAGGTGGAACCCCTGATTTTAACATCCATCTATGAAAGAACTTACCCAAATGGGAAATTCCTTAAAAAGTGCCTTTCCCAAGGACACAATGTCAGATCAAGCTGAGCTCACTTTCTCTTTTTTTTTAAGTTCCAAAGCTGGTATAAAAATGCTGAGACCCTCTGGCTTCTAGAGGCTACAGTTTACACAGTGTTACTGCTGTTTTCACTTTGTTATTGTTTTTATTCGACTCGTAGGCCTATCTTGCTTTCGTTCCAACTTTTTACTTTTTACCCCCATGTAGTAAGGGCTGCAACTCTAAAAATGTTTCACATTTAAAGCAAGCAAAGAGTTGTGTTCCTTAGGCCTAGTAATGTTGACTCATGTCCACAGACAGAGCTGTTACTTTGAATTTGAATACTGCGGTCAAATATTCGTGGCGCAACTTATCTTATATTGTCAAATACCTCCTCAGCTATTTAGATCTAACATAGGTTCTCCAATTTTTGCTCAATGACTTGACTTGCGGGAGAAGTGGTCCCGGCCTAACTTAGTCTAAACAGCCGTATGCACTGCTCACCGCCGAACGCTCCGTATCCCGGGGCTGTCTTTTCTATTGGTTTACGTAACTTATATTTACAGTGACCTGGGTAGTTAGCCCCTGCCACCGTCGGTCTTTCCCGACGTCCTCGGTCTTTCTCGATGTCCACCCGTCACTCCGGGTTGTCGTCCTGTCTTTCCAGGATGTCCGTAGCATACACCTGCTACTGGTAGGTACGTAGTCTAAACAGCCGTATGCACTGCTCACCGCCGAACGCTCCGTATCCCGGACTCTAGCATGGAGATCATCAGGAGAGAATGCGTCGCTGTTTCGGGCTCTTCCTCTCTACAGCTTTTCTGACGCACCGAGCCCCCTCACCGATGTGAGGTCTCCATGTTAGTTCGACTGTTTTCCTCTGCTGCCAACTTTAGGATTCATTCCAGCCTGGGTCCTCTCGCTTCAACCAGATCCAGTGACTGGCTTTCTCTGCTGTCTCCTGAAGGGAGTTTGTGAGTTCGTTGCTTTTCTTTGCAGTAAGTCCTGCCATTCTCATCCACTTACGGGCGCTTGTTGCTACAAAACCTCTGCATCCTACCTCTATTGGAAAATGGGTTGCCTTCCATCCTGCCTCCTCACATTGTTCGACGAGTGCCTCGTAACGGTTTTCTTTCCGCTTATGAGCAGCATAGATATTGTCCTCGTGGGGCACCGTGAGCTGTACCAAGTGCACCTCTTTGTCTGTTTCCTCCCATAACACAATGTCTGGCTTTTTCGTGTTTGGAATGGGGAAGAATCTCTCAAAGCCTTTTAAGTCAGCAGCTACCCCCCATGTGCCTCCGCTCTGGTCTTCCAGAGCTTCGTTCGCTTTCTTTCTTTTGGTAACCTTGCTTCCTTGCGGAACGAACGCAATCTTGGTGGGTCCATGCTTCTGTATCTTGGGGGCATATTTTCCTTCTTCCACCTGTTTTGTCGCCATTGTCGTGAGCACTTTCAGCACCTCATCGTGCCTCCAGGTGTATCTGTTAAGAGCCAGGTTGCAGTTTGACAAAATATGCTTCATGGTTCTTAGCTTACCGCATCTACACTTGTTGTCCTCGTGTACCTTCCATCTGACAAGGTTCACCGGTGAAGGCAGAACATCATACGTAGACCGGAGAAGAAAGCTTAGCCTTGATGTATTCCACTTCCAGATGTCACTCCACCCGACTTTTCTTTCCACTACATGCTCTTCCCATCTGGTCATTTGTCCTTGCTGGCTACACTGGATGAGATGAATTTCTCGCCTCTCTGCCTCCATCTTTTGCATATGTCTTGTTGCAGCTTTTCTTCTGTCTCGCTGAGACATTTTCCTGAAAGATCTAAAGTCGCCATTACCTAGCCCTAATCTGTCAGGTTGCGCTGGACCGACAATGTCACCATGCTCCAATGCAGAGATGATCTCGTTAGCTGAAAGGAGGCCTAACTCCATAGACATTTATACACAAAATCGGAAACAAAAACGAAAGCCGAGTAAAAAAAAAACTGAGTTGCCAGGGTGAAAAGACCACCGGTAAATTTATCGAAAAGGTCCAAACCCATTTGAGACTCTTTTCGGCACTTTTTTAACGTTTTTGGAGTGTGCTGAGAACAATTTTGGCACTAAAAACTGTCACAAACCATTATTTTGTGAATTTAGCAGAGGAGAGACCCCCCTTCAAACCCCCCCCCCCCCACCCCCACCCCTTTTTTTAAAAAGGGAACTTCCGGTTTTGTTTCCTATTTTGTACATAATGTATAAAAGTTCATGGAGTTAGGCTGAGACCACTTCTCCCGAAGAGAGCCATGACTTTATTATTTGTCTTTAAATATCAACATTTTTGTAAACACATGTTAGCTGTATTCTAGAAAATTCCGTAATAATCCAAGTAAAAAATCCAAGTGTGTTGTTTCTACGACTTTTTAAATGTTTACAGCTGTGGCAATATTGCTTTTAATAGCAAGTCCGTCTTGTTTTTTTAATCGGGACATTGTGCTTATTGAACGCATGTTTTGAGAACCATTAGTTCAAAAAATGTCTTGACTATAAAAATAATTTCTTGTTACAAGTTTTGCAAGTAAAAATTGTCATTGATGACCTGTGACGTAGGCCATATGCGTAATCAAAATATGTGTGATAAGCGGGAAGTGCTGTAAACAATACCATTTTACGCGTGACAGCGGTTTCAAGTAGGCCTATTTTATATAAATTTATGAATTTTTTTTTTTACCGCGCTATATATCTGTATTCCAGTTTCACTTTCAGCAGATAGGCCACTTGACGTGAAAAGGAGGATGCCTGGAAGAAAGCGCGTGCGTGTGTGTTCGTGTATATGTGTGTGTGTGTGTGTGTGTGTGTGTGTGTGTGTGTGTATGTGTTTACATGTGTGTGTGGGGGGGTGAGTGGGGGGGGGGTGAGTGTGTGTGTGCGTGTAGACTCCATTTCTATGTCTGTAGGCCTATATATGTGGGGGGGGGAGAGGTAATGGGAGGGAGGGGGCAGTCTTAACGACTCTCAGATACGGGGGGGGGGGGGGGGTGAATATATAATCTTTGAGTGCAGGAGTGCTGAACCTTTTCAAGCTGAGAGATGCAATTCATTTTTTAAAAGATCTTTGAGAGCACACGTGTGACTGTGAAAGCAAAGGTTGTCTAACACCACTTCACAAAAATCTGACGAGAAAATGGGGACTTTCTAATCTCAGACTCAGAAAAGCAGAACTTTGAATTAAGTGTCTAGAATCTAGATCTAGTAGGCCTATACGCTATAATGTTGTGTGTACTATTTTGCAAAGCCGTGTTGTAGAGCAAGCCAGGTCTTGATGCCACAATTAAAGTTCAGGACCCCTTGGTGTAGTTATTTGGCGCTATAATACAGACTTAATTATTACGCTATTTGCCAAGAACTACTTTTCTCTTCCACCAAGTTATTCATATTATGCCCAATTTGAGTAATAATTAATTCATGTGGTCATACAAAATAAGAACTATTTACCTCGCCAGATAAGTTAAATTTCTGCAGAAGATCATATTTGATTATTCACTGAAGTCAGGAAGTCCCTTTTCATAAGAATTCCCCAATCTGTAGGCCGGTAGGCCTAAGCTCTCTCAGATCTCTATTACGTTAAATGTCTAAATCCTTAGCAGTTATAATATTGATGGATTGATTTTTTTCGATATTTATTTTGTCTTTTTTTTGGTAACCGGGATCGATACTTAGTTCATAGTTCTGGTTTTCTGAGTCGGAGATTAGAAAATTCCTATTTTCTTGTCAGATTTTTGTGAAGTGGTGTGAGACCACATTTGTTTTAAAATATGTGCCTGCAATTTTACAAGCAACTGACTAGAATCTATCCAAGCATAATTGTAATCTAAAAAGATTTAAACATTCTCACTTTATTTGTTTCCTGAGCTTTAATATCAGTCTTTACACCTACTTTCTGTGTTCAGCGTAATCTATTTCCTCTTTTGTATGTTTAGCTATGACAACAAATAAATCTTTTCAATTTATAACCTGGACCTGTAAAATCACAAATAGCTTCTTACTGAATAAATTCTAACCAATCAAAGTTGCGATCTGAGAATCTGGAATCCGTATTCATTTTTAGTCATCTAGATTTTCCTAGTGTAAGTAATTATGTCGGTCACTACAATCACTGTGCTGGATATTATTATATTTTCTAAAAAGTATATTTATTTCTAGTAGTAACAACCAACAACAAATTTCAATTTACAAATTGGGTCTGCAAATTTACAAGCAGCTCTGTATTGAGTTGAGTAGACTCTAATCAAGCCTATTTGTTATCTGACGTGATTTATACAGCCTTTTCTTTGACATGTTAATCTCTTTCGGAAGTTTTAACATCGGTCGTTTCATTCTCATTAATAATATGAACTGTTTATATTTCGCTTATGTGAAGTTGTAAAAATATTTTACATGCTGGGTCAGTGTTGTAAGAGACACTACTAGCCTTACAAGTTGGGATATTAGAAGATAGTTTAATAATGAACATCTTTTTTTTCTCTTCCGAATTTCCATTGAAGAAAGTTAATGTGCTGGCCGTTCCAATCTCAGTTTGGGATATTTTCTGTTCTTGTTTTCATTTTTTTTTCTACAAGTTTCGATGTAGCAACAACAAAAATTTGCAATTCTAGAAGCAACTTTGTACTGACTTGACTCTAGCCAAGCATAGTTGTGAAATGAAACGTTTCAAACACCCTTTTTGTAACCAAAAAGTCTTTAAAAGCTTAAATGTCGGTTGTTATACTCTCTGTATTTATCATAATATATTTACTTTTCTGAGTGTTCAGTTGTAACAATTTAAAAACAATTTTATTTTAAAACCTGGGCCTGCAATCTTCAAAGCAACTTTGTTTCGAATACATTTTACCCAATCCTTGTTGTGATATGAGAAACTGGAATTAGCATTACACTTAATTCGACCAAATTTCCCGAGTCAGTAGGCCTAACTAGTTATCTTGAACGTTACAACCTCAGTGTGTTGGATAATATTGTCTACTTTTTTTTTTCTTCTATTTTTCATATGTTTAGTTACAACAACCAACAAAACATTGTGCTTTTCAATATGGGTTTTCAATTTTTCAAGCAACTTTATACTGAATAGATTCTTTTCAAGCTTAGTTATGATATGAGAAACCGGAATCAGCATTATGTGTTAGTCCGCCAAATTTCCTAGTAACTAGTTATGTCGGTCGTTACAATATCAGAGTAGG